GCAAGTTATTACATTATGTTAATATATATCCCTTTTGAAATATTCATATTTATTTAATTTTAAAAATTCCTCTACGTAATGAATAAAAAAAGGTTCAAACTGGTTTTAAAACCGTACACTGATACATAAAACTTACCAACACAATTAGCTCACAAATTCTACATAAAATTCATATTAATACTGCTAAAATATTTTTGACTCACAACATTGTATAACCTTGAACCAAATCGAACCAGAATTTCCACAGCATCCCCGTTTATCGTTACAACATGATGAAAATTTCTAGACTTATCTACGTCATTAAAATTAACAACATTTGTTAGTTTTTCTTAATTAATAATATCACTATTAACAATCTACGCTGGCATCTCGAGTTCGGGAAATATCTTGAATTTAAACAGTTTCGCAAATATTAATTGAAGTTTTAATATTGTAATTGCTTATTATTCTGAGCAAATTGTTTAAGGATTTTAGAAAAGTTAACCATGTAAGGAGTTTATGCAATATTTACGTTACCTACTGACGGCATTTTATTAACACTGTTCTTATTTCGTAATAGTAGAATTATGTTTACAAGATTTTTGTTGAATATTTAAAGACGACATTCCTCCTCTTTCTATTAACACAGTTGCTGTGTTAGAAGAAATTTATGTTTAAGATACTTTTGTAGATATTGTCATACGAAGACGAGATGTGTCAGCTAAAAAAACAGAACAAAATCGTTTACTAAGGCATTACACTTTCCTTGACACGAATAGCTTAAAGCCGATTGTTAAGTAAACAAGAGTAAGTCCTAAAATATAAAACTACAGTCATAGTGTTCGTCGTTACGTTATCGTGTCGAGAAAAGTTTAACGTATTTATTTTTCTTAAATATTTTCCTCCTCACAATTTTATATAAAAACCATCACTCTAGTAACAACACTACCTGGATATTATATTTCATTTTGTTAATTAACATAGTTAAATTTTAATGTTAGCTTTAAGCCTAAGTTCTTACACTACGGAGAAGATATAAAGATTATATTTTATGTAGGTAAAAGATATCAAATATCTGCGACACCGTTGTTTTAACTTTAATAGATTCTAATAATTATTAACAAACTCTGAAACATGAATCTAGCCCGGCTCGTGCTATTTGATATTAAACAAATGCATTGTTGATGTAACTATGTCGAAAGAACTTCATGTACAGGTATATATTGTGATATGATTCTCGACTCAACATGGATTCCAACTAGGATAATACTCGTAATGGAGGGATGAATAATTTACAGTTTCTACTTACATAATTATTCAAGAGATAGATAAAAACCTAGTGTATATTAACGAATTGATATAATTGTTAGCATATAGAAACGTGATACGATATAGGCGATATAATTCATTATTTGGTGCTTCCCAGTATTTATTAATTTAAGGGATAAGTATAGTTCTAGTTTAATAGATCTCTAAGACTCCTAGATGAGCTATACATATTATATTGTTGAATTCATAAAGAAATTTTATAAAAAACAGAGCGAACATTCGTTCAAATCTTAAAATTTAATAGATTGGCCAACTAATAAAGATGGTACATTTCCATCAGTAAATATAATTTACTATTTTGTTTATATATTGATAATACAAAACTAAATATGGAGAGTAAATTGAAATATTAAGAAGTTCTTAAAGTTATTTGGAGAAGGAGAAGTAGAAGAAGGATAGAAATTTAATGATTTGGAAACAGTTTGATCAATAGTAGCACCGGTAAGCGAACTACAGAAATCTATAATCAAATATAAGCTTATTATATAAAATATATAAGTGTGAAAGAGAGATAGAGACAACTTTTTATACATGCCATAAGTGGGCATACTTATCACAGAATTTGATCTACTTGATTGTCCAGTATTTATCGATATGTCAATATCTGTCCCAAAATCGTTTACTTTGTATAACTTTTGTAAGTTTGCTGATCCGAATTAAGTTGAAGTCAATTTGGAAATGTAAAATGAAAGTAATTTCTATATATCCAAAGCTGGGATTTAAATTTTCACATTATATTTGTGCGCATTCATATGTTAAGAAATTTTATGTTCGTGGAGCGTTAGAAACAATTGAAATTGTCTTCAACTATTTGAGCGCTATACAATGGTCTGAAATGTTAAAGCTTAACTATATCAATATTAACTACCTATTCTATTCTATTTATTGCTATGTCATATAGGCGGGTTGTTAATATAAAACTCTGTGGGGATTCAACAATTGAATTTACAAATGTTCAACTCGTGTCTTTTTACATTATGTTTACATTTTGACAGCTAGTGAAGAACAAATAGCATAATATGTGAAATATCATTAAATGATATGGAAGATTGATAAATCATGTTAAGATGAGAAAAAAAAACAAAACACGGACGGTTTATGTAGATGCTATACAAGAGATATTAGAATTTTAGTACCGATTTCAGCTGTAACCGTGCCAAATGGTTATTATGATAAGTGATTGAGCAAATAATAAACAATTATCAAAACTAGCGAACTAGTTGTCAAGAAATGAGAAATTATAATACATACAACCAAAAGTAAAATAAAATGATGTTTGAGTTTAGAAAATTTTGTGACAGGGTTATCGCTTATATAAGAATCTAATAATAATTTATTTAAGATTCATTGACTGGTAGTATCGCACATAGATCAAATAAAGTTCACGACAAAGATTTGGCCCGGTATCGATAAAATCACACAACAGCTTTGAAAAGGAGAATGAGATAGTGTAAAATACACTAAAATAAATTTGACTTTCTCTCTTTTATGTTCATACTTTTTAAATTGTAAGAAACAAAAAATTAATGTAGGAACGTATTATAATAAATTTAAAGTTACAGCCTATATTCGTCCCACAGCTGGCCACAGGCCTCCCCTTATTTCTGAGAGGGTTTTATGGCAATGAAATGTCCGCTGCGCTGCACCATTGCGTGTTGGTAAACTTAACTTGTCTTCGATTTTTTTTTCTTAATTCTCAGATATAGCACGTAAATCAGTATTTAAAATTGCAATTAACAATTTCATAGGTGTCGGCGGGTATCGAACTCGGGTTGCTCGCGTACTGTGAAATTTACAGCGAGTGCTAACCAGCTACCACGGCTCTCATCACGTATTAATTAATGCTTTATTAAAATTTATGGGAGAGGCCTAGTTCAGGATGATGTTAAAAATAGCATACATAAAAAGAAAGTGTAGATAATACAGAGCATGCAAGTATAATTATAATTTCGTATCTCTCATTGGATGCATGTTTATGTCACATTTTTCTTTTTTACACAGCAAACGTCTACTATTTGTATCTTTATATCTAATAATTAACAATATTATTAAAGTCGATACCGGACCTAAAATATTAGAGCGGGACATTGTGCTATAAAATCTACTATAATTATGTATTAATATTGCTATTAGAAGAAAAAGTAACATGTTACACATGATTCATAATCATGAACATCATTACTAACTTCTGCAGGTCTATTTGCTAACTTTGTTGACATTAAAATGCTTATCACTAACACTATGTAGTAGTAGTAGTACATTGCGTCATATGTTTAATGAGCCGCGGTGGCTCTTTTATAAAAGCTATATATACGGCGCAATGTACTTCATAGTGATTACCATTTTAATGTCAACGAAGTTTCCAAATATTCCTGATGAGCCCCTATGAGCTCTTAGGCACATTTTATGGAAAGACAATAAAGTTCATATCATGCAACGTTTGTCCCGCTCGCACGACACTCATTTACTACAAGTTTATTTACACCATTGACATTGACAGACAGTAACAACGTTCAGTTATACTGAATCAGGACCTAATTTTATTCATTGTGTTCATTGTACTTCATGATTCTCAAACCTATTTTCTATATATAAAACTTTATTTTGAGTGAGACAACTATTCTCTTTTTAAATGCAGACAGTTCATTCAGGCAGACTTTGTTTCGTGCAATTTCCTAAGATATGGTAACATTTAATAATATATCAATATTTCTATACAATTAAATTAAAACAATACGCATGGACCGTAGGTCTTTCCCGACCTATTAAAATTAGAGTGAACAATCATTTGAAAAACACTAACATCTTTGTATATAACTTACTGAATCAAAACGTGTAAAAAAATAAACTGCTAATCAATTAACATGCGTTCAAAAGAATAAACTAACGTACATTATTTAATTTAATTTGACTTATACAGCAAAAATGCTAAATATTATTGTAAAAGCGCCATCGATTTTAATGAACAGCTATATAACATTCATATAAATCTACAGTCACAGTTTGACGGCTACAAATTTCCATTTAGTATCCTTATGCGAGTCTGCGTACTACCACCACTCAATATGTTGCCAATGTTCTTAATCTTTAGGATGTTACGGACTTTACACCTGTATTTAGTCCTCACTTATTTTTTCAATTGCATCAATACGTGTGCTTTGAACGATACATTTCAATTTGTTTCCTACCATATTCACTAAACAATATATTTGTTTTATTTTTTTTTAATAAGTAAATGACTAAGGCATTGATTTTGGAAAAAAAAATTCACACATAATGAAAATAAGCAGCTGTTATATTCGTTCTTTATAAACTGTCTGATGAAAACTATTTTTTATTATTAGTAAGAACAATGATTTATAAGGTGACGTTAATAATGTCATATTTTAAACATGAAAGGAGTGATGCTATTCCTGCTACTTGAGCAATTTGATTTTCGAATAGATTCCTATAGAGGAATCTGTAAATTAAAAAATTGAAAAAAACTCTTTATCATTCGTTGAACATTTTTTGCTTTCATTCAAAGAACATAAACATTTTACAGTGATCTATAAAATTTTGGCATATCGTCAATTTAAAATTTACAAAACGAACTGCACTGAAATATTAATACTGTTTATCTCATCTCCTAAACTAATTCATTGAAAATCGTTTTTAAGTTGTTTAACCCAAACTCAAATATCACAAAAGATTTATTCGCTGGGACAATGCAAATATCCATACTCCAGACCTAAGCTAACCGCAACGAAGACGAAATATAGCAGGAACATCGTGAACCCGAGACCCTTGTTCATTTTCCACCTGAAGCACGCGATGCTAAGGATGACGAAGATGAGCATAGCAAACAGCAGTACGATACTGCAGACCATGCCCTTCGAATTCACTTGGACTGGCTCGCCGTATATCAAGCCGTACAGTAGCCAGGGAAGTGGCAGCCTGGAAGAGGAAATAATTATAAATTGATTAGTGTACATTACGGATTATTGTAGTTTGTTACTTAAATAGCAAGAAAACTAAACGCTAAACGTGATAAAGTTCGTAAAATTAAATTTATTTCATGATAAATTTATGAATATAAAAAAACAACAATGAATATTCCAGTGGATTCGCTTATTGAATAGATTAAAAAAATATATGTTTAATATTTCGAATAAGTGTTTAGAGCTTTAGAATTTCGCTGTGATCTCTTATAACTGCGCTCTGTCCACTTGTTTGATGTACATTTACACACTGCAACTTCATAAATTCTAGACGTATATGACTGAATAAAATAAATAATACAGGAGTGAACTCAAGTAGGCGGAAAAATGATTTTTTTCCATTTAACTATATAAACATTTAGTTACATAACATTCAAATATAATCAGTGTTTATTACCATAATAAAAAAATCTAAAATTAGCAACTTCAATTTTCATAGAATCTTAGCCGCTGTAGCTGAACGCCGGTTGCGTTTCTTTGCTGAATAGCTTTAATTTGAATTTGAGCGAGAATAATTAAAAATTTTGTACGACCGACTTCAATATAAATTATTAAGAATAACTCAAAAACTATTGGTCAGACCTTGATCAAATTGGGATGGGACCACACGTGAAGCACCAGCTTTCAAATAAAAAAAGAATCATCGAAATCGGTTCACCCAGTAAAAAGTTATGTGGTAATACACATAAAAGAACATACAGTTGATTTGAGTACCGTCTCCTTTTTGAAGTCGGTAGAAAAACAAGCCCTCTTATCACCAGCAGAGCGGCGACCAGCAGGCGTAGGCGCGGATACAGTTCTTTTAGGAAGTTGACCGTAACCTTGTTTTAATAAAATTATTATTTCTATATGTATCTTTACCAGGTTGAACACTTCGTATACTTGATGATAGGTGTTGTAACAAGTTGATAAAGTATGTAACAGATTTGTAGAATACACATTGTGACTGGTTAGTGTTCGGTTTTGTTGAACTATACAAAGTTCTAAGCAAATTATAAGGCCCCCGATTATCACGCACTACTAACCATTTTCACGTAAGCTGATATTTGTTTGACCCAATATTTGGGCCAAGGCCTATCCGAATAACGTAGATAAATATCAAAAAGTAACTTTTCACGGGGCGAGGGCTTGTTTTATGGCTCCAAGTAAGGTCGTGCCTTCAAACAATGCCCGCTTGAAAATAGGTCATTGTTGATTAACTACCGCTGATAAGATTGGGCGCAAATAATACCCTAAAATGTTTATGTAAATTGGCGTGTGTGGTAAATTTTATGACATAACTAGCGACGCGGCCGAGTTAATTAAAAACCCTACTATCCTCACATAATATTTGCATACGCTATACCCAATAATACCTTTCTCAAGAAAGCTCTGTAATGATAGTGAAAACCGCATCATTATAAATTTGTTGAAAGTTATAAGTGCATACACCGACCGACGCAGATAAGTGAATTTCATAGTATTTATTCCGATTTTTCTACTGACTTTAAAAAGGAAGAGGTACTCAATTCGATTGTATGCTTTCTTATGTGTATTACCTCATAACGTTGTTCTACGTGAACCGATTTCAATGATTCTTTTTTCATTTGAAAGGTGGTGCTTCTCATGTAGTCCCATATAAATTTGATCAAGGTCGGACCAATATTTTTATATATCCTTAAAGTTACAGCCTATATACACGTCCCACTCCTGGGCACAGGCCTCCCCTCATTTCTGAAAGGGATTTTTAGGGCAAGGAAACGTCCGCCGCGCTGCCCCAATGCATGTTGGCGAACTTCACATGTCTTCGATTTTTTTTCCTTATTTCTCAGACATGCAGGTTTCCTCAAGTTGTTTTCCTTCACCGCCGAGCACGTGGTAAATCAGCACTTAAAATTGCAATTAACAATTTCATCGGTGCCGGCGGGAATCGCACCCAGATTGCTGGCGTACAGTGAAATTTACAGCGAGCACTAACCATCTGAGCTACCACGGCGGAGTTATCATTAATAATATATATTGAAGTGGGTTGTACAGAATTTTTAATTTTAAATTATTCATTTTATCTTCAGATATAATTTATTCATACAATAAAATTCAACATAAACAAATTAAAAACTACAGTTGTATGAATAATATAGTTCAATTGTTTCACTTTTATATTCAGTCGCTCAAGCGATACAATGGCTTTTGTTTTTCTTCTTGATCATAATTTAAATAATTACACTGTTAATGTCTTGTACATTGTAACACTAGTTACCACTAGCACCCTCTAGTATCGAGTAGCAGAACTGGGAGAGTCAAAATCTTTCTAGAAATTTCGGGACCGATATGTACTCGAACACTCTAGATGTTTCTACAGTAGAAGGTTCTGGAAACTATTTGAGGCGGAGAGTCAGTACCGAGTCAGTATTGAATTGGTGATACACGGCGATGATGGCGATACTTCGAAGCAAAATAATTGCGAACTAAAGTGATCAGTAATACAATTGTGTTTTATTATTAGTGTGGTTTTAAATTGTAATTAGTGTTCTGTAATTAAAGTGTCAATTATGGTAATTCACTCGGCAGTTTTTAATTGTGTCGAACCCTAAGGTCATAACAATTTGTGTCAGAAGTGGGATCAAATCATGCCGATTTTACCAAAGCACGACACGGAAGGTATCCGTACCCGAAGTCAACGCCAGCAGGAGACGGACCAGATACGATTTGGTAATGCAACGCCGCAAACGTCGGAGGACCAGCTGCAGACCACGGAGGCCAGCCCGTCAGCAGCTTTTGCATCTGCAGCAGATGCAAAAGCAGATGCTGCAGGAGTAGGCTAACCGACAGGAGGAGCAGGCTCGCCGACAGGAGGAACAGGCTCGTCGATTGGAAGAGCAGCTGCAGCGCAGACAGGAGGAACAGGCCCGCCAACAGGAGGAACAGGCCAGTCGGTTGGAAAAGCAGCTGCAGCGCGGACAGAAGGAACAGGCCAGTTATTTGGAAGAGCAGCTTAAACGCGATAAGGAAGAGCGGATGCTCCTCATGAAGGACCTTCACGCTACCTTCGTAAAAGAGATAAAGGAGATGAAGAATTTCCTCAACATGACAACCGCCTGTCGGAAGCTGAAACCCGAATCGATCAAGTATTAACAATTAATCAAGATTGAAAACGTGATGTCTGACGTGATGAAAACGCTGGACGACCTCAAACTTGGGGATGGAGTTACAGCTCCCGTGGTAGCTACAACATCTTCACTACGCAGATTCAAAGTGCCGCCGTTCGACGGGACTTTTTCCTGGTCAGCCTACAAAATCCAATTCAAGGCTGTCATGAAGGCGAACGGCTGGAATAAAAGTCAGGCCATGACTGCTCTTACCCTAGGCCTGCGTGACCATGTCTTAACCGTTATGGAAGCTCTCGGTAAGGAAATGACTTACGAGCAGCTTCTTGAGGCATTTGAGGCGAGATATAGCGACGCTCACCTGAAACACGTCTTTCGTGTGCAGCTCAAAGATCGCGTGCAACGCAGCAACGAAAACCCGCAGCAGTGGGTCCTTGAGGTGGAGAAGCTGGTTCGAAAAGCATATCAGTCTGCACCTGCGCTCATTGTAGGGAACCTGGTGCAGACATTCATCGACGGCATCCGCGACCTTGAAGTCAGAGCTGCCGTGAGGCTTGGGCACCACGAGACGCTTAAGGACGCGTTGGCCCATGCATTGGAGATAGAAGCCGTGTGACAGGATCATCGTTCCTAACGCGTCAGGGAGGTTGCAGCAGAAACAGTTCGCGACCGCAATAAAGGATACAGCCCTAGGTGCTACGGCTGTAGGGAAAGGGGCCATCTTCGATCCAGCTGCCCTAAGCGAACTGTAGAAAGGGAAGGTGAACGATCTCAAGAGGGTAGTGCGGTTAACAGCACCGCTCAGCTGCAGCAGGAGCTACTCGTGGATAGAGTAGACAATGACCTTCCATGGAAAGTGCTTCGAATCTTGGTCAGAACCGCTGACATCTCAGGAGTACGTGTGCTGAACCTTTGTGATCAGGAACAGATTACAGAAAAAGGCACATTGGTTGGTACTAGTGAGGAAGTGGATTGGTTTCGTCGGTGCCAATATCTATTGACTGGGACGGACCGTACCGGATTGTGACAAGGGTCAATGACGTAACCTACTGGATACAGAAAGGTGCCAGAGGTACTCCTAAGATCGTCCATGTGGATTGACTGGCGCGTTATTATGGAGCCAATTATGCTCGGGACGAGCATGTCTTAGGAGGGGGCAGTGTTGCGCGCCACTGTTAATGTCTTGTACATGGCAACACTAGTTACCACTAGCGCCCTCTAGTATCGAGTAGCAGAACTAGGAGAGTCAAAATCCTTCTAGAAATTTCGGGATCGATATGTACTCGTACATTCTAGATGTTTCTACAGTAGAAGGTTCTGGAAACTATTTGAGGCCGAGTCAGTACAGAGTCAGTATTGAATTGGCGATACACGGCGATGATGGCGATACTTCGAAGCGAAATAACTGTGAACTAAAGTGATCAGTAGTACAATTGTGTTTTATTATTAGTGTGGTTTTAAATTGTAATTAGTTTTCTGTAATTAAAGTGTCAATTATGGTAATTCACTCGGTAGTTTTTAATTGTGTCGAACCCCAAGCTCGTAACAATAATATAAGACTTTGAAAAACCTTAAACAACAGGCATTGATCATGAGCTATGATGATCCTGATAAATATTTTATTTTATCCTGGTGATCCTGATCAGGATACTAGGGCAAGTTGTTAAATTATTGTATGATGATATAAATTTCATTAAAATATTTCGTTACATAGATAGATAAGAGAGATAGATTTTTTTTATAGGATAGGTTGACAAACGAGCACACAGTCCACCTGATGGTAAGTGGTTGCTGTGGCCCATAGGCATCTACATCTATCTTCGTTTGCGAATCAAAACGCAGATGCGTTGTCACCCGTGAGGACTAAGCT